CCTGCTGGCTGTGCACAGGATATGGCTGGCCTTCCTGGGCTGCTGTGTCCTATCTGGAATGCAGAGATGCCTTTACTTGCACTTTTTTTGCCAGATAGCCAGAGACTATTTATGTTTTCCAACCATCACACCAAGTGATTTTACAGGAAGAACAAGTATTATCCAGCACTGTTCAATAGCATTAATTACATGTATTACAAATCCTGTTCTCAGGCTCATTTGCCTCCTCCCAGGCTCGATCTGGAGCCTGACTCACGCTTCACCACAAATTCCCACTCTTTCACCACTGAGTTAAGATGTGATGGATTTAAGGATACCACCTGCAGGACAGCCTTTCAAGCCTGTTGGCATGCCAACGATTGTTGATTTTACTGGTGCCTCCAGCAACTTAGCAGAGAGTATCTCCAGGGTTTTTCAGCAGCTCCCAGAGCAGCTGCTAATATGCTGCCTTGCTGTTCTCTGGGATGGAGGACAATGAAGTGCTGAAAGAAGAGGCTGAAGGGGTTTATCTCTATCAGGCAGCTGATGAACCAGAGTCACCTGCAGATCCTACCACCCTCTGTCCTGTAAGAAGAGCAAGTGGCCTGCTTGGTTTCCTGGAAATTTTTATTTGTCTCTCTTTGGGATTCTAAAGTCTGAGCACTGTTCTAAGATCAGATGTGAGAACTAAATCCATAAGGTAGCACACAGTTCAAAATAACATCCAAATGCACCCAACGGGAAAAATACCTCTTCTGAGCCTGGTATTTTTTTGTGGCAGCTGTTCTGTGAGTTCTAGCTGTCACAGCTATTAGCAATCATGTGCTGCAAACTACTTACGGCCACCACAACTTTTCACAAACCTCTTCAGTCCTTTTCATTCATTTTGTCCCCTTTTGTTCTTTGGCCTTTTCTGTTACTATGATATCCGTAATCCACTGATTTACTGAAAAAGGAGACTTTGAGGATGTTCCATGACTCAATTTGAGATAGCACTGCACAGGGGAACCACATAAGCAGTGGGAAAATGTCCAGAACTAACCAGCCAACTTAAACAACGTCCTCACGGTTATACTCCTCCTGGCCAATAGGATTTATATTCTTGCATTAATAATTGGAATAAGTTAACTGCCAGAAATTACAGCAATAAGCATTTCAACTTACCCCACAGAATAATCAGAACATCTAAGCATGATCCAAACTGGCAGTGTGAGAAAACTTTGCTAGATGCAAAAGAATGAGAAACTCTGAAATCATCACCTCAGAACAAAACACGTGGAACACAAGAAAAGCCTTTAAACAAGCATGGCCATACTGCATTTTGTTTTAAATCTGGTGAAAAAAATGGGACCACAGCTTGAAAACTCAGGCAGATGGATTATCTTGTCTGACAAGTAAACAAGTCTGTGGATGAATAATTAAAGAGTAATCTTCCAGCACCCTAAGGCATATATTTTTATCTTAATTAAATTCACATTAATATCTGCAATTGCTACACCAGTGGTAGTTCTTAATTCCTCAATCCCCCATGACAGATTTTCAATAAATATTTTTTCCTGGTTTCTTCTTTGCCTTTGGTAACAACATGCACTTGATACTGTGCTTATACACAGAAAACATCCTGCCATCCTGATGGTTGCCTGCAAAAAGGGTTCTTTCCCTAGTGTAGCTCCTATTCCTTACCATTCCTTTCCCAGAATTTTATGGGGGGAGGTTAAGACTTATCACCTTGAATTACAAACAGGCCTAAGTTTTGTGTTTAAATACTGTGCTGAACTGAGGTCTAAGAATATAGCTTCCCACCTAAGGTCAAGAAGGTCATTAAGGCAAAGAGAAAGAAGAGAAGAAAAAAAAAGAGGAAAAGAAGGGAGATAGCAAAAGCTAACGAAGTAGCAACAAGAAGAAAATCAACTGGTTTACTGCTTTCTTGTATTTGCTCTGTGTTTCAATCTGCACGTTCTGCAATGCATACACTTTGTTTATTGATTACTTGCCACATTTCTTAAATGTAAGGTTTCATTTTCATGCCCTGTCCAGCCCAATATTTACAATAAGAGGCACTATCAAATAGTCCCTGGGAAATCAAATCTCTCCAGATGAGAACAAGAATTCTTTAGAGAGAAAATCATAAATGTAAAGAGATAAATAATTCCAGATTCAGAGCAATTAACACATAATCACATGTCACCAAATGAACAGTACTCTGTATTGTTATGCATTTTATGCAAGTACTGGAAAATAGAGAGAAAATAACCTTCATAAATTCCTTAGAAAAACACATAGTAAATCTTCATTCCTGCTGTAAGATGGCTATAAATAATAAGTAAGCAATACTCATGGCCACAGGTACACATTAGTCATGAAGTAAACATAAGCTGTGGTATATCTGACCTCCTAGCATTAGCTTTGAAAAAAAATGAAACATCTAAAATTCAAGTAAGGAAATGAAAGTTACTTTACTTATTATCCTGAAATATGATATTTAGACACTTCTGGGAATGCCACGAGGCACCTTTGTGCATCCTTAGGAATCTAAGCATGCTTTAAAATGTCATACCTTTCACTTAAAAGAAGCAAGTTCTGTAATCAGGTTACTGGAAGTGTGGAATTGCAAATGCATCAGTCTCTTTGTTCCATTTCTATCCCAACAGAGGCCTGTTAAGATTTGCTCTCAATAAATCATTTTTATTTTTTGAAATGCAGACTCTCTCTGTAATGCATCACAGCATCAGTGGCTGATTGCTAAGTGAAGATTAACTGTTGAGCTGTCGTCTAGATTGCTGAAGTAAACTAGACAGATACCTTCATTCCAGTCTCATTAAAGGAAAACTGCACAAGATTATTCCTCTTCAACATTCTTTGCCAGGTAAACCTTTGCCCTCCATCCTTGAAATCTATCCCCCAATCACCTTCTCCCTTTGACACAGGTGATGTCCACTTTCCTCTCTTTACAAAATGCTCATTTCTGTTAATCTATACTCCATTCTTTCATACTGTTATTAATCATGTTCAGTCTCCCCAGAGGAACTCTTTTGAGTGTGATTCTTTCTGTTTGTTTGGTTTTTTGAGTTAATAAAATGTAGGATGCCCAATCCATTGGAAACATTACCAGGCAGACAGCCTGACTCTGTAGACTGATAATTGACTTCCCTTCAGCCTCTACTTCCTTGCACTTCTCTGTCACAAATCTTGTTACCACTTTGAAAAGTACAGTGACCTGAGAAGTGCAGTTTTTTGAGTGACTTTGGCACAAATGTTACAATAACAGTAGCAATTTCCAGACCATAGAAAAAGATGTGTTTCCATGGAATGTATTGTCCTTATGCCAGAAAGCTGTTATATTGTCTTTCCTGGGGGGAGGGGAGGAGGGGCTGGTTGCCATTCCAACTTTCACATTCAGAAAACAAACTGAAAATACATATTTTTCATTCCGTGTCTATCAGTCTGCAAGTAGCATAAAGCAGTGCAACCATAAAGATGAGTGAAGTTCGTTATTTCACCACTTTTGGTCAATCAGATGGGAGTATGCATTTATATAGTCATACAACTATCTGACAACCCTTTTTCCTATCTGTTGGTCTCTAAATTTATATCCCCCTTTAATCCTTTAATTTCATAAATCTTGGTGACTCCCAGTTTCTGGAATTATCTTCAATTCAAGACACTAAGAGCAGTTTGGGAGTGGAAGAATGAGCTTCATAACAGACTCACTGCAGTCTCACTGCAGGTTCAGATTGTAACGCTGTCTCAAAATGTCATCTGTTAGGGTAACGAAGAACAACTTCCATATGGAAACCTCTTGCCCTTCCATTCACTGCTGAGGTCTGCAAACTGCCCTGGCGCAAGGAGCCTGAGGGTTGTGAGCTATCACCAAGAGTACACACAGCCATGGCAAGAATGCAGATGCTGTGCAGCTGTGTGTCCACAGATGTAGCTGTAATGTGACATAGCTGCCCCTTCCACACTGTTGGTTGAGAGGAGCAGAGCCATGATGTAGAGCTGCGTTACAGAGTAGGCCAAAAGACTGCCGCTGCTGCTCACTGAGCCAATCTGCCTTACCTGACATTAAGGTCAAGGAACTGCAGAAAAGCCACAGTGATGTGCTGAAGAACTCTGAAATGCAGTGATGAGTCACCCTGAGCTGGCTGCCAAACATACACCCAGCTATTCTCTCACTTCCCATCCTCAACAGCACTGAGGGAGAAAACATGATCCTTCCTTGCACTTTGCCCCTGCTCCCATCTAGATGCATCCCATGGATTGCAGTCCTTCACAGACACAAAAGCAGTCCTCTGTGGCTACATGGCCTTCAGGAAATATGCACCATGGTTTCTTCTATATATTCTGTATAGTCTTCATATTCTGCAAGGGAATCAATGCTCTAGTGCCTGCAGCACTTCTCCCTCCTTCTGCTCTGACATTCATGTTTGCAGAGTTGCTTCTCACACTTTTTTTTTTTTTTTTTTTTCTTTTTTTCCCTCATTCCTCATTGTTCCAAAGTGTTTTGCCCTTTCTTAAAATATTTTCAGAGATACCACTGGCTTTACTGACAGGCTTAGCTGTATCATGCAGTGGCTGTTTTGGAATCAGCTAGGACCAACGGTGTGCAGCATGGGGCAGCCCCTGGCCTCTTCTCATAAAAGCCACTGATACATTCACCCACTGAGAAAATTTTGCTACATAAATGTAAGACAGATGGTAACACATTTTTCACAAGGTGCTACACCATGACTTTGAGAGCTCAAAAGCATTAGTTGGTGTATTTGGAAGTAAAGGACCAGCTCCCACAACAAATAGGTAAAATAGACATAGAAAGAGGCATGTACAAACTAATACAGAGAGTGTGTAAGTAACCTATACTGACAACATTCATTATTTTCTTCCATAGCAGCTTATTTTGCTGTTTTTCATCATCACCAAACAGGTATATTTGCTCAATCAGTGACAAGTTAATGCCCTTATCTTCCATTTCAGAAGTAGGAAACCACAGCAAAGTGAAAGATGGTTTGTACCTGGTCTTACCTGAAATTCATGTCAAAGTCACAACGCTTTCAGTTGCAAGCATACTCCTTGAAAATTGAGGTCTGCTTAATCTGTAGTATTTGTTCAGCAAATCATCCCCTGCATGGAAAGAAAGAAGTTGGAAACGTTTAAAAACAAACAACAATCACAATCAGCAATGCGACATTTTTAAATTTCCACCTTATAACATAAGTGAAAACAGCAGAGCTGTGCTCCTACAGTAACAATAATAAGACGATTTTTAGATTGCTTCTGTTAGCTGAATGCTATGTGTTGTACTATGAGATTTAGGAAATTAAATTGCTTTAGAAATAAACAGCAACATGGAGAAAACATCAGACATCAAATCTACATTTAATTGTGCATTTTATGTTAGATATTAAAATACCTCTGAACAAATCATCAGATATAGTTAACTGGTATACTTCCACAAAGGTCAACAGACTCAGCAAATGTTTACCCACTCAAGATCTGATCAATATATATATGCATTTATCTATTTATGCTAGTAAAGTATTGTTCCATGTAGTTTTCCCATAGTTGCATTAAATGTCTGAAATGCAGCTGTATATATCTTTTTTATAAGTCTATATTTTTACTTCAGTCACTCAGCAACTCAGTAAATGAGAACAAAGAGCATACACCTTTAAGGACAGTGTCATAGGGATGACAGCCTTCTCTTTTTCTGCATATCAGATATGTTTCCTTCTCATTGCAATGAGTTTTAGCCTAGCCCAGACTGAGAGAACAGCTTTGTCTTCCTACTGTCCTTATACTTTTCCCATTCTGATAGTGAAAAAATAAGGCATCAGCTGTGCTACTACAGAAACGCTTTGCTTGGAATGTAACTGAGGGCATTCAAACACTTAGCACAGATCATCTTCGGAAACCACAGATGTACAAACTTTTGGGATAGAATGATTAAAAAGCAATGTGCAGCAGGTGAAAAGAAGCACCTTTCACTATCTGTCTCTAAGAAAATTTTCTCCTCAGTCACTTCTGATACCAGAATTCTGGTAGTGCTTTAATCTAATACAGCTTGTAGCAGCATTTGCTATAAGCAAGATCTGAGATTTCATGCTAGAAACTTTTATTAAAGCCTCTTACTAAACAATATGCAAAACAGCCAAAGCAATTTCAACAGAGTATTTATATGCATTTCAACAGCTGTTCTAAAGTAACAGCTCTTTCATCCATACAGTTATTTTTTGTGTCTTGAAGTTATGAAGATTTGGGAACAAAATATTCTCACACAGAAGAACATCAGTACTTGGTAATTAAGCAAGCTGTAACGCACAGCACAAGGGTAATGCCAGTGAGGAAGCATTGTCCTCTGACTAGGATAATAAAAAAGACAGAAAACAAACTGGGTTTTGCAGTGGTTTTCCTGATAGTCTCCTCAAGGCCCTGTTATCTGCCCATAAAACAGGAAGAACAATGCTCCCTTGTGAAACAGAGAAGCCAATCTCATTTGTGGTGTCCAGAGGATGCTGTGAAAGCTATTAAACATTATTACATACAACTAATAAAGTTGAGTTTGTTGTGGTGACAGGTGCAATCAGTGAACACCATCAAAACATTTTTAAGCATGCCACAGAAAAGATGAGAAAAAGCTAAATCTATAGCATAACTTGGGGAGAACAAGGTTTACGTATGTGGTTGAATAATCCTCAACCATTTCTGATATGGGGGTTATGGATTCTGGGAAACTCTGTAATGATGCCAAAGCAGTTGGGTAAATGTGACTGGCCAGATGGAGGAAAGAGCATCGTCTCAAACCACAGATCACCAAGGGCCAGCAAGAACATTTTTGTGGTCCACAGAGTTAACTTGTTCTATGCTGTCAAGATCTAAAAAATATATATATAAACACTGATCATTTGCAACTCATATTCACAAAGAGAGAAATAGAAAAATGATTAAATAATGATTAAACAATTATATATAAAGCGTACTGGTGAAGCAGTGCTAAGAAGAAATGCCTGCACCCAGAGTTCACCTCTGAGCTGCTGAAAACTTTGAAAGATCACCTCAGAGTACTAGAAAGGTGTGCAAAAAAGTCAAAAAAATTGGTAATCTGAAGCACCTTGAGCAATATGGGAGATCCATGCAAACCTCTTGAAGTTCAGCAAGGTCAAGTGTAAGGTTCTGCATCTTACAAAGGCAGGGCATTGCCAAGCACAAACACAGACTGGGTGGAGAATTATTTAAACAGCCTTCAAGAAAAAGACTTTGAAGTGTTGGTTGTTTTTCACTCAGGGAGTGATAACGCACTGGAACAGGTTGCCCAAGGAGGCTGTGGATGCCCCATCCCTGGAGGCATTCAAGGCCAGGCTGGATGTGGCTCTGGGCAGCCTGGTCTGCTGGTTGGCCACCCTGCACATAGCAGGGGGGTTGAAACCAGATGATCATTGTGGTCCTTTTCAACCCAGGCCATTTTATGATTCAATGAGAAGCTCAGCATTAGCTATCAATATTTGCTTGCAGCCCAGAAAGCCAATCATATCCTGGGCTGCATCAAAAGAAGTGTGGCCAGCAGGTCAAGGGAGGGGATTGTCTACTCTCATGAGAAAATGGAGCTGTTGGAGCAAGGTCCAGAGGAGGGCCGGAAGGATGCTCAGAGGACTGAAGCACCTCTCCTGTGAAGACAGTCAGAGAGAGTTGGGGTTGTTTAGCCTACAGAAGAGAAGGCTCCAGAAAGACCGTATGACCAACTTCCAGTACTTACAGGGGGCCTGCAGGAAAGATGGGGATGGACTCTTTGTCAGGGAGTGCAGTGAAAGGACAAGAAGTAATGGCTTTAAACTAAAAGAAGGTAGATTTAGATATAAGGAAGAAATTCTCCACTATGAGGGTGATGAGGCACTGGAACAGGTTGCCCCAAGAAGATGTGGATGCCTCAATCCCTGGAAGTGCTCAAGGCCAGGTTGGATGGGGCTTCAGGCAACCTGGTCTAGTGGGAAGTGTTCATGACCGTGGAAAGGGATTGGAATCAGGTCTTTAAGGTTCCTTCCAACCCAAGACATTTTATAATTCTATGGTTCTATTACTAGAAATTTGTTTATGTTTTCTCTGAGTTCACAACCTTGCCTGCAAGAAGGAATAACTGAAAAGATATTCTAGCAGCTTTGAGTATATGAGGTGTGAAATATACCATGTGCAGCTGCCTACTCTGCTACAGTTTTCAATGATGCATAATACCATCTATAAATGTAGACAATCTTTTTTTTTTTTTCCTAAAGGAACTAAAATGCTGTTGACACAGCACTGTGGCCATAAGAATCCTCAACTGTCTTGTTAGATAATGTTTCTCCTTAGACAAGTGAAATATATAAACACTTCAGTGAAATAAAGTAGCAGGATTTTAAGATAGGAATAAACTACCATAATTTCAAAATGAGACCCAGACTGTAAATAATGGAAATCTGGGAAAAGATTCCTCAGCATATGGCTTTGCTTGTCTCAGTAACATGTTGCTGTCTCTTGACTGCACTAATGATGATTAGAACTGTACTAACAGAATCTGTGGCCCACAGTGGAGGATTTGCCAAGTTCGTGCAGGCTGGTAATATGGCTGCCATTTGAACAGGACTAGGGAACAGCAAAGACATCTAGTATCTGTTACAGATTCACCTGGATGGATGCCAAAGACCTGGTGGTCATGAAGAGTGGTAAGTTGAGGACTCCTGGTTACAAGGGAGAGAACAGCCATTTACTCTACTTGGCAGAGAAATCCATGGCCTAAGGTCTTTACTTATTGCTCTGATTTCCCCTAAAATCAATCCTGCCCAGCCTTCACAAAGGTGAGATTAAGCAGAACAGGACCATGCATTGTTAAAGCAGCCACTTTGGACATCTTGCAAGCAATGCCTTAACAAAGCTAAGGTGTCAGTGTGGGGACTCTGATCACACTGGGATAACTCTAACCAGTCTGGGATTCAGTTCTCATGAAAGAGCAAACCCAGACCAATGGTTATGCATCATCTACTTTTACAAAAAAATAGAAAGGAGGTTAACCTTGCCTGCACAGAGGACCAAAGGGCAGACTCCTGAAGTCCCCTGGCAGACTTACAATCAGCATGCCTGTTGTTTACAGCTTTCTTTTCAAATTTAGAAACAGGGCCTTTTCTCGTCTCACTTGTTCCTGGCTGCAAAAAGGTCTCCAGCTATTTGCGTATGTTGCAGAGGTGCCAAAAGACACACAACACAGCTGGCAGCTTCCAGGGGCCTTGGCTCCAGTAGCTCTGCAACTTTTTTGGAAGCTACTTTATTGCAGCAAATCTTTTTCTGGGGACACTTTGATCTGAGAACCTCTCTCTATATATACACTTCCTGGCCTGATAACTCTTTTTAAACATCAAGGTTAGAAAAGAGTGCAGAATGACTTAACTTCCTTCACAATCTGTTAACAACTTCTCCTTTCATTCTTCATCATGAGTTGGCTCACATGAAATACAAGTTTTTTAACCTATCACACAAAATGTGAGATGCACTGCAGTTCAGTAAATGGTGCAGTAGTTACATTCTTCGTATGTATACTGCATCTTTAAATCTACTATAGCAAAGGTGGATACAGAGATCAGGAGCCATTTTTTTTTCATTCTTTCAGGAAAATTCTTTTCAAAGTTTCAATTCACATTATTCTTGTTTACTTATCCAACAAACATAGATTTTGTCTGTCTTTAAAAAAAAAAAGAATAAAGAGAAAGAAAAATATTCATAGTAATATCAAAAAATTTACTTGTTCAGTGAAAATCCCCAAACTGGATTATTTTTCACTTTCCTCTCTCCCTTTGCTCCTTTTATTTACAATTTAGGTAAAAGGAAACAAGTCAGAGAAAGAATGTGATGAAACTAGGCAGTAAATTGTTTGCATCTCTTCCCTTTTGTAGAATCATAGAATGGCTTGGGTTGGAAGGGATCTCAAGGATCAACAAGTTCCAATCCCTCTGCCATAGGCAGGGTTACCAGCTGCTGGATAAAGTATTAGGTAAGACTGCCCAGGGCCCCATCCAACCTGGCCTTGAATACCTCCAGAGACGGAGCATCCACAGTCTCTCTGGGCAATTTGTTCCAGCACCTCACCACTCTCTCAGTAA